AAAAGGCCTACCCATGCGTGCAAGGATCAGACGAAAACGTGAGCAGCCGCCAAATATCTGGCTGCTGCCCTCCTTGTTTGGGCGACGTCTTCGGTGCTCCTTTGGTACACATTCCGCGCCAGGAAACACAACTTACCTAGCACCACAAGGAAACACCCATGAGCCAGTTAGTCGCGTCAGTTGTCAGCCACCGAGAGCTCCAAATGAACCTGGAGTTGCGTTCAATCTGAGGACTGTAATCGTGACGAGGAAGTTTTGTCGACTCTCCACTGCTTCCATGGCTAAACATTGGAACACTGGTCCAAAACAGAAGCTTAACAGGGGTGACGGATTCAAACAGTCCTGTATGGAAGAGGATTCGTCGTCGTATCATCGCCGAATCCTATACTCGGGTGCAGTAAGGAGAATTTCGAAACGAAACTTTTCGAGGTGGTTGGTGGTGATGTCACTTCAATTGTCAATAGCTTGTTTGTGGAACACAAAGACGAGTGGAACTTAAAGCACGCATCATTCTCAACCTTTCTACTATGAATAATTCAGACTATTTCCTATCCGAAGTATACGCGTTTCCTCCCCACCGTAGATATGTGTCATGGACGGTGGATACCCGGATGGAAGTCGTTAAAAATAGTCGGATTTGCACTCCACTGCCACAATTGTAGTGCCCCAGGGCTTTCTATTGAGTAGGAGAATGCGCCACGATGGTCGAAATGAATGTATTTTAAGAAGGGATTGGACCTTGATTTGGACCGATGGCCAACTCACGATTACAAGTCAAACCAACAAGAATGCGCACTTGACATCAAGCAGTCGTATAACTCAAGCACAATTCTAATGTTATTTAAGAATGTTTTCCAGTTCCTTGTGGTTAATATCATATTCATCAGGTTTTTTCAAGTATTTTAACCTTTGGCCTAAGCTTGAGCTTAATCCACTAATCCTTTCAGAAATAAATTCATCTAGCTTTACTTAACGTTTTTTCTTATTGGTAGGAGTCGCTAATTACCCTAATTACATTATAGTTTTAATGTATACTAGTTTTTCTAAGTTGGCTTTTATAGATGAGAAGCGGGAACTAATTGTGAAAGAGAATCGCAAGCCTGGGTCCTGCTCACCTCATCTGCATTTCATTCCTCATTTTTTCTGTAACAAGTGCCTAATAAATCATCTACAAACAACCCTCTCTTGAAGTCTGAGGTTCACGGACCAGAGAGGGAACAAGCAAATCTCACAATAGCATTTGCCGTAGTGTCCCGAGGCTCCAAATGGGGTAGTAGAAGGCATAAGTGAGGTTGAATACATGTATTCCGGAAACAATATGAGAAATGGGGACTGAGCGTGGTCCGAAGGCCAGCCCACGTGTACAGGGACTAGACAAGTCCTAAAGTGACCGCCAAACGCCAGACAGTCACATAAACAAAGCATTACATTTGCAATTGCGAGTTTTATAATCGTCAACTACGCAAAAATTTGTTTTAAGAGATTCTTATAAGTAAAGCCTGAATCGGCGATAAAGTGATTTTGATTGGCATTGATATCAGTTTCTCGTGTAAGCTAAAAATGTGTGGTAGGATCTTTTGTCCCAACTATCTTTAGACAATTAATTTTTTTGTGCTACACCTTTTTAGATAGTACTGAGTCTCAGGAATCGACCTTTCCATTCACTGATCCCATAGTAACGTCCTTTTCACTCTTTTACCCTATGCACAAGATTATGCTGGTGCATTTTCTGTCCAGTATCTTTATTTGAGAACTCGAAACTCGGCCAGTAATTATTCAACATGCTTGGCCTCAGACATCTTGATTTTGCCGCTTTTCAGTCTAGTACAATTTCGTGTGTCTGGTAGCTTTTTAACCGGTGTTCCACTCGCAAGGTCTTCACACATTTTTTATCTGCGTATAAGTGAAACTAAGGGTGTGAAGATCTCGCCTAATTAATCATTTTTTTCATTTGACTTCGTTAGTTCTGGCATCTGTTGTTCTGAAAAAGGTTACCTGTTTTGAGGTAACCAGGTGTTGTACTGTGATTTAGATGACTTTGAATGTCTCCTTCTTGATTCTTCTTCCTTTTGGTATCATTTTATGCTTTACACATTTTAATCAATTTGACATCAGTGGGCAACTTGCTTGTATTAATATATTTATTCCTGAATTTACGAGTTGCTCCATGAAATAAATCGACATGTATTTTCACTTGTACAGCTGTGTTTACAAGGCTTTGAATTTATTAGCTCGCAGTCATTCCTTTTTTACCGTTTTAGCACCCTTTTCGCGCATTCGAATCATGTCTGATGTTGCCTTGAAATCTATCTCCATCATAATCGGAGGATTTTTCATCCTTTTTGGTGTTCTCAAAGTGGTACCTCTGTTCTCTACAGATCTCTACCGTGATGTGGTTAGTTTCGCTTCACGAACCTTCTGACAAAGCAGTATTTTGTTGCCTTTTTGATGTACTTGAACTTGGGTTTACAAATATTGTTTTGAGCTTGCTGGAATTATCTTTGTTGCATGAAACTAGTTTTGGTTTTTTGCACATGAATGATAGGCCGCATTATTCATCATTGAGTGCAGATCAGCTAAAACATTGGAAGAATTACGAAATGCTTTTGATTTGAATTTTGCTGCCGTGATTTGTGCTGCACTCCCGCTCTCTGTTTGAAGCGCGGGATATTTGAGCGCAGTGCCAAAGTCTTCCCCCTGCAGCAGTTCACGGGCTGGAGACCGAAAGCGGATTCTTTGCGCCGCTTTTATGGAGCAGTCGAGATGGTCTGTGGGGTGGTGCTGATGGTGGGTCAGGAGAACATTGCCGATTTGGCAAACATGGCGCTCATAGTTCTCCTATTTTTTGTACTCTTTGCCAATTGGGCCCTTGGTGAGGGCCTCAAGGAGGCTTCCCATGCCATAGTTCTTGGTCTTGTCCTCACCTGCCGCTTCGTTATTCGTCTTCAGGTCAGTTCTTACACCTTTTATCCTTCGATTTATGCGTTCGCTAGGTTACTCTCGATACGGGCTAGTAATAAGGGAGTCAAATCGTGTATGGACTTTTGATTTTATGAAAGTAACTTTAAGCTGTGAGGATCGTAGTTTTAGTGTGATATCGGGCGTCACTGGTAGCCGGACAAAAGTAAATGTGGTGAAGACGAGAGATGTAATATTGCTGAGGTACTTGCCTTACATTGGCCTTCGGTGAGGATTTAAGCTGGAACTTACTTAATCCCCTTGAAGGTGCTAGTAATACCGAAACGACCTCAAACTACTCCTTCATCTGATATCTAATTTTGTGTATGTGCTTTGAACGTGGATAGTATCTCTGCGCTGCGTTATTTCTGTTGCTGCGAGATGGAGCTGAGTTTGCTCAGGAAGGGCTTGATGTGGAAGTTTAATGTATTAAATCATGTGTGAAATTTGTATTATTTTGAGGGGCGACGGATTTTAGATGTTTCAGTTTTTCGAATGGTGTTGCAAACTGCAATGCTACACGATCCCCATCTTAGTGACAATCATTAGCCATTTCGAGTCGGTTTTGTTATTGAGGAAGAGAAAAATGTGCAAGTTTTGATTTTATTGCTTACCTCAATCTTACTCAGACCCTTCAAAAGAATGAGAGCGACGTGGAGCCTATGGAAAGAAACAAAGTTGACATTGCCTTCCGCAAGGAGTTGCGACGTAGGATTGCGGAGCTACATGAATCCGTATGTGAGACACAGAAAGTCCTCAAGGAGAACAATAAAACTGAAAACGATTTGAGTGTGCG